AAGTCAAAGTTGACATTTAAATTACAGATTCTGATAATAACAAGTTTGCGCACAAGTTTAACAAGAGATGCTCATATTGTTTTGATATATTTATTTTTTCTTAATAAATCGTAAAAGTTTCAGGCTATTGATCTATAATCTCTTTGGTTTCAAATAGATTTGAAATAATAACCTTACTAATACCGTTAATTGATACATTTTTTTATATTTTACCATCTTTACGCATTATAGTGGACCAACGCTAAAATATACTTTGCAGGAGTTTGATATTTAACTTCATAGAGCGGATTTTTTTAGCTGACTACTAGTACTACATGAGTGGATTATTAAAGTAATAATCATTAATCATTATAATTCAGGTTTTACACGAAAAAACATTTATGACATTTGAGTTTTATTTTTTAATTGCTGTATTTGGTCCCCAAAGGATGGTCACAATAAGGACGGTCCGGCGGTGACGGAAACGCGTAAGGACTAATCATTTTATTAAATACTAAATGTCATTATTTTAATCCATCATAACTAACTTTCCTTTCTCATCCTTATTAATTTTAAAAATTCTATTTTTAATAAACTAGAATCCTAGAAAAAGAAACAAAGAAAGTAGAGAAATAAGCTCAAAGTGTTGTTATTCAATTTTGTATGTATATAGAATTTTTTTTTTTTTTTTAAACATCCAATACTAAGATTTATTGATGTATGTGTGAATGCAATAATAAATAGAAGTTCAATAATGGATCATTCCTATTTGTAAATAATATAAGGAATTCTTTTAATATTCTTAATGTTTATTTTCATCAAATAATAGCTGACTGATTATTAGAAACGTATTAAAATACAATAAAGAGAAGTTGTCTCACATGTCATACGAATATTTACTAAAACCATGTTAATGTCTGGACGGTCAAAAAAAAATCTCTCTAGTTTCTGTTTCTGTTGTTAAACTTAACTTCTTTTTGTTCTTCGGAATAAAATGTCGTTAAGATTATTATCTATATATATCTCTCAACATACCCATCACTTCTCCAACCATATCTCACTCTTTCAGCAACTAAAACCCTAAAGA